TTTTTTTTTTTTTTTTTTTTTTTTTTTGAAATTTAGCAGTCTTACTAAAACAGAAATAAAAACTAAGAAGATGGCAAAGAAATATGTTAATCGCTGTCGCAACATTCAATTTCATTGCTTAAGTTAGAACTTGAATGCGTGAAAGTTGATTGTTGGTGCTTATTTTCGGCCTTGTTCCGAAGATTTTGCTTCCTATGTTTCTGCATGCAAATTTTTTTGTGCTTCCCCGACACAGTCAAACCTTTCAGTTCCGTGTGACAAATGTCACAGACAACTGTTCGTCCACAGGCGTGCCGTAAATGATAATTCAAAAACTTTTGCATTTTAAAACGAAGACCACAGGTTCTACAAACATACGGATTGCTTATCAAATCTGAGTTACATTTCGCATCCGGATTCTTAAGACAATTGTTTTTCAGGTGTCTTGACAAGTGAATCTGCCGTGAGAACGTCATTTTGCAATAAATACAACAGAATTGACTCGCTAACAGATTAGAATCTAAAGCTTCCACCCATTCGGCGCTCGTAGAAGATTCGCTAAATTTTGAATTATCCTGCGTGAGTGTCTGTCGGTGAGTATTCCCTCTGCATTTCCCGTTGTTTCCCCTATCAAAACTGTTGTGATCGCCGTCATTACGTTGCTGCTGATTTCTGTCCCTCTCGTTCAACGAGACTATCGCCGTCTCATCTTTTTCATAGGTATTCTCCTCAAACTTCAAATAAGTCTTTTTACCCTTCGAGTAATTCTCGTTGCATTTGCTCTGGTGATTGTTCCTTTCATAGTTAGTGTTTTGTTTAGCATTACGCGGCTGTCGGTTTTTCCTACTTATTCCAGGGCTGCTTTCATCTTCGCTACTGCTATCATTACGATTGTTCCTCATACATCCACGGGTACGTGCCTTCTTCTGTTGCATTAAATAATTCAAAACGATTTGCTTCCTCGATACTCCTGTAACATAACCGATTAAATAAGTACCGCTCTCCCGTTGCAACAATAAAATGGCTAAAGCTTCTACGAAAAATTAAACAATGAAGGTAACAATGAAGTAACAAAAGGATAACGAAAGCAAGAAAAACCCATTGTAGTCGT